GGGGGGGAGTGGGATATAAATAAATGAAATAATAACAGTAATAATTGAGAAACCACCTCCCACGTTAACTATGCCAAGAGCCCAAAGTGCTTTCACACAATAACAGTGAAGAAAAGCCCAACGCACATGAGAAATGCAAAGTTCAGATTTGTGAGAAATTAAAGCCAGCACTTCCGAAGGCTTAAAAGAAAAAGGCTCGGCTGTTACAGGGAATGTAACAGGAATGTTTTCAGGAAGCTACGATAAGTCAGAAATTCCTGTTTTTCACTTCAGGAAAGACAAGAGGTCATTGCTAGGTTCCAGGTCCCTCTGCAGCCATATTTCTTAGGAAAAATAACTATCAGGAGGGGTCTTTTGCAAGAGAATTAGGAGCAGACGCACAGAGAAAAATGGGGAAAAAACTCCAAAGTGCAAAATGGTCAGCGTGAGCGGCTAAGATATAGTGACACCTTTGCTTTCTGATGGTCCAGTACACAGTTACTTTGTTTCATGCATAAAATTATTTCTTAAAAGTATTGTGTTGAAAATTACCTTCAGGGTATATGTATAAGGTACATATTAACCATAAATGAATTTTATGTTTTATCTCATTGTGTGCGTGCGTGTCTTCAAGTCGTTTCCGGTTTACAGCGAGTTTCATGGAGTTTCCTTGGCAAGGTTTGTTCAGAAGAAGTTTGCATTTGCCTTCCTCTGAGGCTGGGAGAGTGTGACTTGCCCAAGGTGGCCTTCCTGGCTGAGCGGGAAATCGAACCCAGGTCTGCAAAGTCACAGTCCAACGCTCAAACCACTGCGCCATGCTGGCTCTTTGTAGATGCAAATATTCCAAAATCCAAAATAATCCGAAATCCAAAACACTTCTGGTCCCAAGCATTTTGGATGAGGGAGACTCAAGCTGTATAGAAGAGGGACTTTCAACCCTATTCTGGACTCTTAAAGTTGGATCTTAGGGCTCCTGGACTTTTAATGGCTGTAAAAAAGGGGAATTTCAGCAGGTATTGCTTGTCTCATAACCAGGGGTGCATCTACACTGTAGAAATATCACAGTTTGACATCACTTTAAGCACTGTAGCTCCATCCTATGGAATCCTAGGATTTGTAGTTTTACAAAGTAACTTTAGCCTTCTCTGCCAAAGAAGGCTACTGGTGCCTCACGAAACTACAAATCCCAGGATTCTATAGAATGGAGCCATGGTATTTAAACTGACATCCATTTGCATTATTTTTACAGTATAGGTACACCCCAGATAACAAGAAATGCTTGCTAAAATTCCCTTTTCTGCATAACCATTAAAGGTAAACCTCTCCAGTTTTCCATCTGGAAACCTCATCCACTCCTAGGAATAGAAACATCCATGGAATAGAAATGGAACGAACTTGGAAAGTTTCCTTTTTTGGACTATAATCCCCAAATTCCTCCAGCCAGCATAGAGAGAAATGTGGGAGCTGTAATCCAAAATTTTTTCCCAAGTTCTAGAAATGGGAATGATTTAGGCTGCATCTGCACTGCAGAAATAATACAGTTTTGACATCACTTTAGCTGCCGTGGCTCCATGCTATGGAATCCAGGGATTTATAGTTTCTTGTGGTACCAGCGCTCTTGGGGAGGAATATCTCACAAAACTACAAATCCCAGAAGTCCATAGGATTGAGCCACAGTAGTGAAAGCGGTGTCAAACTGCATTATTTCTGCAGTGCAGACGCAGCCTTAGTTCTTTAGAGTCTTGATGTTTTATTAAAGCATTCTTCTACATAAAGGCATTTCTTTTGTTATTATTAACCTGTAGTTTTCCACCCAAGATCCACAGGACTCAGAAAGTCACAGACAAGGTGATATCTTTGCTCCCTCGCACAACCACCCTGTGAGGTAGGCTAAGCCGAAAGAGGGCAACTTGCAATGACTTCCAAAGGGCATACCAAGAGGTGATACTCTTTTCTCTCAGACACAATTATCCTGCGAGGTAGACTAAGCTCAATGTGAGCAGCAGGCTCCATAAACTTAACTCCATGCCTGAAAAGGGATTCGAACCCAGCTCTCCCCATTCAAAGCACAGCACTCTAACCAAACTGGATCTCTTTTCGAAGACCTAGGTCCAAAACATACTGCGGAAATAATCCAGTTTGAGACCGTTTTAACTGCCCTGGTTCAATACTAGAGATTTTTGGGAACGCTGGTTTTGTGAGACATTCATTGAGCCTTCTCTTCTCTGGTGCCATAATAAACTACAATTCCCAGGATTCCCTAGCACTGA